GTAACCGAAATATTGTATAACAGTAGATTTTATTCAATTCGATGCATATCCATCCAGCTTTAACCTGATATTTTACTGATAACACATCTAAACAAGTTTAATATTAAGCATCAAATGTTTTTTTTTACTTTATTTTCACTTACATATCGATATAATATTTATATATTTAATATTATTCAATACCAAGTTCACGCTCTTTAATAGCGTTAGAAATTCGTAATTCTCTTAATTTTTCTTTACGTTCTGCAATCATCAACATGCGCTCCTCATATTCTAATTTTTCCATGATCGTCATACCAGATTCATTAAGTTCATTATTACTTGAATTGATTTTTTGAGATTCTTGTGATGTATCATCAGTTAAATCGATTACTTGAGATGTTCGCTGTTTTTTATTTATTTGAAATGATGATAATTTATTTTGTTTTTTTGTTGAAGAACTAGCTTTAGATTGTCACTTAGCTATTTGTACAAATAAAAATATAATTTAATAAATAGAATTATTAAAAAAAATTTTTTAAATAAAAAAATATTTACTACTTCGTTTAATCGCCAACTTTTTTCTTGCAATATTACTTTTATCATAACCACATGTATTAATATTAAAATTAGCTTTTATATCAGTTCTCTTGAAATTGCGCATATCTAATTTTCGACCCCTAAAAAAAATTCAATAATAATTGTTATTAAAAATATATATATTATATATAAGATTATATAAACAAACCTTAATATCGCCGTCATCAGTTTTAGTTGTTTGCCTTCACGATTACTCATAGCATGTGCTGCTTCAGCACAATTTGTGCTATTTGGTGCCGCATGCCACAAATCATGTGGAATTTTGGAAAGATTTGGATTGAGTGATGCAATAATATAAGGTTTTTTATAATATTGAACCCAATCTATTTTATTTAATAAATTTTTAATCAAATTTAAAAAATGTATACATATTATATAATTTAATAAAACTTGTCTGTAAGACTATTATCACTTTTTCAGCTTTCGCAGTTAATAATAATTCCATTTTAGCTTTAACATTATTTTCGAATCTTTTTTCATTTAATTTTCTATATGTATAAAATAAATTATTTAATGTATATTTAATAAATGCTAATCTAATTATTACTATTACTTACCGTTTATAATGTACTTGACACGATTTAAAAATATGAACTAAATGTTCTTCCCAAGTAAAAGAACTATCGATCAAAGCTAAAGTTTTACCTAATCCAGTAAGTTGTGCTATGTCAAGATCACCGATTATGCAGCACCATTCATTTTTATGAATATGATTAAACTTTGCTGATTCGCCAGTAAATTGGTTAACAAGACCAAATAATGCTTCAAATATACGTTGATATGCAATCATAGTTGCATAATTGGTAAAAACTCAGGCAAAAGTTAAAACTAATATATAAAATTATATATTATAGTTAATATATATAGTAATTAAAAAATACTTACTTATATTATACTTTTTATCATAATAATTTACCTCGAATTCATTAATTTCTCTAGCAACTCTTTTAAATGATAAATCAATTTCAAAATAATCACATTTAATCCATTTTTGTATTTGAGTTTGAGAGGTAAAAATAATCATTAAATGTCTATCACTAAAAAAATCTAAAACAAATAAATTAGATAATTAAAACTTTAATATTAGAAAAAAAATTTATAACTTACTTAATCGTTGAACA